ACGGGTTCTGAAACGTCAGGAAGAAATTCTACCGAACGACGGCCTAAAAACCCGAAAAACCCATTAGTTTCACGACTAAAACATGTTTGCTTTTCAGCTAATGAGTTAAGATGAGAACAGTGTAAGCGTTCAAGCAAGCCACTCGTGCTTGCGAAACGCCAGGCAGAATTCTACCGAACGACGGCCTAAAAACCCATTAGTTTCAAGGAATGGCTTTAAAAGTCTATCTCTTTTGATGTTTTAGTCGTGTTTATTCAACAAGTCCTCCTAATAAATACTCAAATAAATATTACTCTTGTGTCTTGACTAGAACATAAACGGTAGCTTCTGTGGATAACGAACCAAATAAAAAGTGYGGTCTTAATGCCGGTATCCTTTGAAAAATCGGTAGGATTTGTAGGCATCATATGCGTAAATCAGGCCCAAAATTGAGCCAGTCATCTAAAATCAARAATACGTTTCATCTGTTATGAGTTAAAACAACAAACCCGGTAGAAACAACGATTAGAGGCATTGCACACAAAAACCCTTCATTTGGGCCTCTGCTTGCAATTTTTGCCGCGATCCATAATACTTACATAGGCGGTACTCATTGCAGGATAAACTTGATATTGGGGAGTAATCGCGTAAACCGGCTCCAAGACTACATTGACTACATACCCCAAGAATGAGCAGCTTCCCAAATAAGTCAGAGCGGCCAGTGTGTTGAAGAGAACTTCCTGAAAAAGCAAGCGTTTCTCCTTATTTCTCCTCGAAGCAGCAAATACTTACAAAAAGTGACGACTTAATGAGGTGGATCGACTTTGAGGAGAAAATGTAGCAAACAAGCAGGAGGAAAGTGGTGAGAAAACACCAGGCCACATTGGTGGTGAACGATTGGAAAGACAGTCCGATCGTTCCAGCGTATTTTGCGTCAAACTGCAGCGCTAAGCTTTGGCAAAAGGAGCCAAGCAACTGAAAAATTCAAACTAACTGAACGTTCAGCTGAGACGCACTTGGTTCCTACCACTTCGACTAATTTCAGTCTTCCAGGCCCGGTTTTCAGAAAGCCCAAATTCAAACAGCTACAACAGCGACAGCAGCAGCATCCGATTCCTCCCAGGCTTTGCGTATTGTGAACGGGAACTGATATCACTCGCGAAGGCCTCATAGTGTGAATATTTTACTAGCCGGATGGTGCTTAAGAGAACAGAGAATGAAAAGCATTATATACAGCTTAAGCTTACCTGATGCAAGGAAATGCTTCCTT